TCCGAAAATTTTTAACAACACGTATATGATCTGATATGAGAGATGAGATTTGGTGTTTTTTGCATATCATATGAGAAAATCTCGAATAGCCATTGATTAAAACGACAACTGCTATTGTACCACATTAGACCTTTATTGAGTTATTAATAGATTTATGGCACTTACTGGATCTAAATTCTATTATTTTCTATAATTAATGCTAACACTTTTCAATGTATTTTAATTTTTATAGATCATCAAAATATATATATATATATATATATATTAACATGTTTTATATATTGTTCTAAAAAATCATTTTCGGTTTGGAAACCAAGATGAATATTTTATACGGAATGTTAAAATTTTAACAAAATTATTTAATAATAGTATATATTTTGATTTTTTCCAACTTGCAATAGAATATTATACCAATCTGGATTTCATTATCTTGAAGGTAAATATCTGTCAATTAATATATAAGAGTAGGCTTTAATTTGGAATTTTTGGCTTTCAGAAATCAATATATGTTCACCAAAGTTGGATTTTATTTTTTTATTATTTTTCTCTTTTTATTTTTCTTGCCTTTTTTTAATTGTGAACTTAAATCTAATTTAAACCCCTTAATTAATATTTTAATGTTATTTTATTTTATTATTGTCATAAAATTATAAGTAATATTTGTACAAGACATATGTATAAGATTTTATGGATGAATATTCCATTGTACAATTGAGAATTAATGAATTTTACACTTAAATATTTTCATATATTCAAATATGAATATTTTTGTTTATTTTAATTATATTATATTATTTTAATAATTGACCTCATTTGGACCACTAACTCTTAAACTATTGCCTCGACTGGTTTAATAATCTTTTAATTTTTAGCATCTTGTTTCCATCCCTCCACTGTGACCGCTAGCAACTTTTCCAGCGATATAGGGGCAGAAATTATTTACAAGGCTTAAAAAAAATACAAAAAGTGAGGGGTTGAAAATCCATACAACTTTAATGAATTTTTTTTTTATTAGATTGAAACTTTGGTAGTCCCTACCCCTCTAAGCCAAAAAAAATCAATAGTGCCACAAGTCAATTTTAAAAGTGAGGGGTTGAAAATCCATACAACTTTAATGACTGTTTCTTTATCATTAGATTGATACTTTGGTAATGCCTACCCCTCGAAGTCAAAAAAAAAAAAAAACGAGGGGATGAAAATTCATTCAATTACAAACGAGATTGCTAAAATTGAAAACATTTTATTTTACATTTGAATTGGCATTCATGTCAGACTCCATGAAACATTGGAGACGCCACGAAATAAAGGAGATTCATGGGTTATTTTATTATTGGGCTAGTTTATCAGCTCATTGCTAGATCAGGTTAACAAATTCAATTATACATAGGAATATAAATTTAAATGAATTTCTTAGCCTATGATCGGCCCAACACAAGGGCTGATGATGTAGGTGATTAATTACCAAAAAGAAAATAGTCAAGTTGGTAAATATTTAGCCCATAACTTACAAGGTTAAATCATGGATCAAATTTCACTGTCTATGTTAAAACCTTGCTCTGATAGTTAATCTATAAATATTCATGCATGTACTCATTGAACTTGAAAGCATATCCTAAACACGATGAGCTCTTAGGAGTTGGGACCCCATTCACCTAAAAATAATTTTATGTTTGCAAAAAAAAAGTAAATGATTTTTTTTATTCATGCATCAATGCGATCATTTGAGTTTCATATATGGTTTAATTTTTTCACTAAAACTACATGAAAGGCTTAGTTTACTTGATTAAACTACCAAAAAGACTTTCCATAGGCCACATACATTCCTAAAGCCATCTTTTACAGAAGATTTCATATGCAACATAATGCAACTATATATATATATATATATATATTGCATGACAGGCACCGGAAGCTTAGATCTATGGTTCCTTTTTTATCAACCACTTAATGTTCCAAAGACCAATCAACATGGTCTGTATTTGGTAGAAGGACTTAGTCTCTCACAATGTGTTGAACTAATATTCTCATTTTTACTAGAAAAAATGTTAATATTTAGTATCTGATCGTGCTTCAAATAACATTACTTTTAATAAAATGATACTTTGTGCGCAATAAAAGAAAGTTCCAAAGACTATGAAATGTTATACTTGATGTACTCTATTTTTTAAATGCAGTTCATTAATTTTGATTTAATTCTTGTGGAGAGCATTTTAATATTAAACTAAGAAAGAAATTTAGTGTTATAAACCAAACTTGAGAACCAAATATGTTGGTTCGTTTCTTGCTAGGATCAACATGTAATTCCATATGCATTAGAAAAATCATACACAATAACATTAGACCTCAAAATGAACGATATGTATATTTTGATAATTTCAAATATAAGAATCAATTTGTAATAATTATGACTAAGAAATGCATATATGCTTATATTAAAGATGTGGACTAGTGATTATTTTTCCAACTATATATCACAGAAGACTATGAGCTTGAAAGAGATATTTGTAAGTCTTATATCACCATTAAGCTTGCAAATAGCAAGCTAAATTATTAGTGAAACTTTAATAGTAATGTTTCATTTTTTTTTTTTGGTTCCAGCTGCTAAGTATTACTTCCCATCACTTGTATTTTTCATCTAGTAGACTTCTATAAGAATGATATATCACAAAATAGACTATGAGCTTGAAAGGGATTAAAAGTCATTGTACACATCATTGCAACATATCATTACAAGAGTGCTTATTGTTGGGCTACGGGAGCGATTTCAAAGCACTCCTGTATCTAGTATCACTACTATAAAATAAGCTTACAGGAGTGCTTTTTTTAGCCTTAGGGAGCACTTTTTAAGTGCTCCTGTATCGAATGTTCTAAAATTTACGGAGCACTCTTGTATGTATTAAATATAGGAGCACTTTGTACTCACAAAGCGCTCTTGTATATGTAAATAAAAGATGCCCTATAATGAGCGCTCCTCTAGAAATGACATACGAGAGTGCTCTTCAAAAGAGCGCTCTAGTATGAACCTTACAGGAGCGCTCCATTAGTGAGCACTCTTGTATATCAATACATATAGGAGGACTCTTTAGAAGAGCACTCTCGTATGTAGCTATAGGTGAGCGCTCTTGTAGTGAGCACTCCCATATAGCCATACTTACTAGAGCGCTCATTATATGAGCCCTCCCATAGGAAATATTTATTTTTTTAATCTATACTTTCTAAAATTTTGTCCTTTGTATATCTTTAAAAATGACTAATCCCAATATAAAAAAATAATTTAGAAATAGTATCAACATAAAAATTTATATACAATGAAAGAACTTGAAATTAAAACAATTTTGATTTTCTAACTAGCTAGTCTAATTTCTAATAGTCTAACAAATGAAACTATTGGTATTTTCTAACATTAAAATCTAATTTTCTATCACAAATAGTCAATAATATACTCTAACCACTCTTCAATTAAATTTTCTATTTGCTCCATAGTAAAATGTGAGGATCTTGCTCCAACAAAATACTACACAAGATATGAAAGCAATATATAAGTAATTATATTTATCTATCAAATAACACTCCAAATGGATTTATATTTTTTTATTTATTCTTTCAGAGCACTCTTCCAAAAGCACTCTTAAAGAGTTAGCCCTTAAAAGAGCGCTCCTAAAGGATTTAAATTTTTTATTTTACTCTTTTGGAGCGCTCTTGTAAAGCATTAGACCTAAAGGATTTAATTTTTTTTTTCATTTTACACTTTCAGAGCCCTCTTTAAAAGAGCGCTTCGGAAGGATTAGACCTTTAGGAGCTATAACATCCTGAAATTTTTAAGATCCAAATTAATTTAAAATAAATATAAATAATTAAATTAAAATTAAGAATTATTTGATAGAGATTCAGAATTCGAATTTTGCTAAGCAAAAGTTTGGTTGTATTTTATTTTTAACAATGAAAAAATTATCAAAGTTGACCCGAGCTTTTGTGCTATAATAAAAAATGTTAGGCCCTTCTTTGCAATTTTCTCCAAAGCATTATGATCAATTTTTTAAGAGGAAAACAACATGCAGAAATGAAAATGAAATAAGAAACCAAAGGAAAAGAAACACAAGAGCAAGGAAACGAGAGAGAAGAGGAGGACAAGAGAAGGAAGAGAGGGGATTCGGGAGGCTTTACAGCCATTGTGAGTCGAATACACGATAGATAAACTCTTTTCTTCAATCCTCTTCTTTTCCCTTGGTTTTTTCTTGAGTTTTTAGAAAAGGTAAATTTTGAATTTTATTCCCAAAGGCTTTGCTCTTGTAAGGTTTGATTTCCTTGGGTTCTAGGGAGGTTGTTTTAAGTTTCTATATGGTGCTATAATGTTTTGAGTAGGCAATTGGATGAAAAGGGAGTTTTAGGGCAGAAATCAAACCCAAAGGAATCGGGTTTTTCTCTTTAATGGTTTAGGCCTATTGATTTAGTTATAATTGTGCTATTTGAATCTATAAGATTTAAATTAAGCTTTATTTTTTATTATAAGGGCTAATTATGAAAGTTGGTAACACTAAGTGAAAGTTTTTAGTTGATTAAAAATTTTATGGCTTGGAAATTGGCCTAGTGGTGGCTAATAAATAATTTTGGTGGTTAAGTGATACTATGTGAATGGTTGATTTAATATATCGACCAATAGGATGGATTATAGCTCATTGACCCAAGTTGTGTGGTATGAGTTATAGTCTTCTTTTATGCTATTTGCCATGAGAAGTGACGTAGATCACTTATATATTGTAGGAGTTGTTGGTGGAATTTGTTTAGAAGTTAAGGGACAAGCCAAGTCTTTTTTTTGTATAAGGGGAAACCCTTTTGGTACAAAAGGGTTGAGGTAATAGGGAAATTTATATTTCTTATTGCTTTGTTTAGTAGATAATATTATCTAGCAAGCATTATATGTTTTAAACAATTGAATGCAAATAAAATGTGTTTTAGAAGGCTTTATGGGGTACTACTTTAAAATGAGATTACTTGAAAAGATGAGACTAGAGTATTGCCAACAGATAGCATTACTTGGTGTGATGACTTATGAGAAGATGTGCCACAAGCTGAGGGTAGCAGCTAAGCATGGTAAAGAGGTAGATGTCAAGAGGAGACAAGATAGTATGGGGAGATTTTCATCTCCTTTGGGTTCGACTGGCGAAATTTGTAAGAGGCTTGGGTTTAATGCAGGCAGTTCCAGTTCTTTTGGGAGAAGAGGTTTCAGTAGAGGATCTTAATCTCAACCTATTTATAGAGGGTCAATACAGAGAGGTAGGGTGTTGGATAGGGAGGCACAGCGGAGGATTAAAATTTTTAAAGTCCCTATCTTGATATAGACCGAATGAACTCATTTAAGTTAAGGTAGATAGAAGAGTTACTTTTTAATTCTTCAAATTTGATGCGTGTTCTTTTCAAGAGTTTAAATCTTAAGAGTTGACAATCTGACTTGAATAGTGTGCTAGCGCTCCCAGCGTCCGTTCTTCTTTGAACGTTAGTTTTCCTTTCTATAAGGTTTTTCATGGCTCTCAAAGTGTTTTTTATCGTTAGAACTTTTCTAACTCTCTCTATTTTTTTTTTCATAAAGCATGTCCCTTTCTATATAAAGTATAAAGATTAGGGTTTCATCTTCTACTTAAAGAGCCCATGAAAATTTAATTAAATTTATCTCATAAATTTAATCTATTATATCATATCTAATTTAAATTTATCTTATAAATTTAAATTATAAAACTGACATGATATTCTCTCATATCATGTTAGTTATTAAATTTAATCTATCATATAAAATTAAATTTAAAACTAACACAATATAATATAATATAATATAACATATATCAAATGTACATATTATATTATATATATATATATATATACATACGAATATATATATATAATTATATTTTAAATTTTATATTTCACATATGTATAAATATTTATCAAATAAATATTTAAATATATATAATTCATTCATCCTATATTACATTCATTGAATCTAAACATATTTCAGATTCAATGAACTTGGACATTATAACTCGAGTTAGGTTGTTCTTGTGTGTGACCTTGTAGGCCCATATGAAATTGACAGTAGGCTAATTACGCTATTAGCCTACAAGTCACAAGTGGCCTCTAGCAAGACATTACAACTACCCAATTCACATAAGGATCGATGATCTGATGTAACCTATCATGCAACCATATCACATCCCTTTTGTCACTTGATATTTTAGTCAAGTGTAAGACATGAAATTGTCATTCTCCTTTACCTGACTGTTACTTTCTCGATCTCTGAGTGGACTAATTATAGCAATGGAAAAACCCTCTCTATTGTAGTATAGCTATACATTTTCTCAGCCTTACTCATCAAGGGGTGCAGTAATATCTCTCACTTAATGTGAGGGACAAATTCTATCTTGACCATTCATACTCCTTTGCATGAATATCACCAAACTCAACCATAGCCTTTATGATTACCCAATCAAAGGTGACTTTTGCCTAGGTTAAAGTTCAGTGGTCATCATATAGGAACCCATGATGATCTTAGGTTAAAGGGCCTAGTGATATAGTTACATATGAAATAAGCGTATGACTTATACCATACAACTTTCTCATAGCGAGTCGATCCAAAACCTTGTACTCTTTCAAGTGCCTATGACTTTGATTTATATCTCTTTGATCCCTCATAGATGATTGACTAGGGACATTTAGGACAATCATTATAATTTGTCTAAGGATACAATTATCATAGTGGACACGTAATTGATATGATAACAAAAGATAAATTCATCAAGTAATAATGTGCATAGTACATTGATTGGCCCTAGGGCATAATTTCTAATATAGGGTATGAGAATTAGGTCTTCACAGTCCTCGAGGCAAGCATTGAGTGTTCCAACTTCGACTCTTAATACTTGAAGGACACCCCAGTACAACATATATAGCAGATCTCATCCAGGAAGATGTTGGGCTTGCTATAAGTGTGGTAAATCAAGTCATATAGTGAGACAGTGCCTAGAGGGTAGAGTTGAGAGGATTGAGCAGAGATCTATAGTTCCTGGCTGAGTATTTACGATTACACAGGAAGAGGCCAGAGCATCTCTGAACCTAATCAGCAGTATGATTTTTGTTTATGGTCATAAACTAGAAGCATTATTTAATTCAGGTGCCATGCATTCTTTTGTGTTTGAGGAGTATGTGGATAGATTAAATCTGTCATTGCAAGAGTTGCTTGTGCTTATTAAAGTGACGAAGTCTTCTAAATCATCTAGTATTGCAACTAAAGCTTGTCAAGGTGTGGAGACTCAATTTAAGGATAGAATTTTCAAGATCAATCTAATTTGTATTTCTATGAGAGGAATAGATGTGATTATTGGCACAGATTGGCTAGCAACAAATAATGATGCGCTTGACTGTGCTAAAAAGGTGGTTTTACTATTGGTGTTGGGTGCAATAGTGGATTCTTCAGAGCAGCCTAAGTTCCTATCGATAGTAAGTGTTGAGAAGTTGATTCAGCAAGGTTGTGATACCTATATGGTGTTCTTTTCAGCCAGTACAGTGTATGATGGTAGAATCGAGAAGATTGGGGTAGCAAGTGAGTTCCCAAAGGTATTTTTCAGTGAAGTAACTAGATTACCTCCTAAAAAGGATGTTGAGTTCTCAATTGATTTAGTTCCCGAAACTGAATCGATATCAAAGGCCTCATATAGAATGTCCCCATCAGAATTGGCTGAGCTAAAGAAGCAAATTGAAGATTTTCTAGAGAAAGGATTCATCAGATCGAGTGTATCACTTTAAGGATCACCAGTATTATTTGTGAGAAAGAAGGATGGTAGTCTACATCTTTTTATAGACTATCGATAGCTGAATAAAGTAACTATGAAGAAAAAGTATTCTTTATTAAGGATTGATGATCTTTTAGATCAGTTGGCTAGTACCTCAGTCTTTTCTAAGATTGACTTGAGGTCAGGGTATCATCAGTTGAGGGTTAGTATAGTAGATGTACCCAAGATAACTTTCAGAACTTGGCATAGTCATTATGAGTTTTTGGTTATACCATTTGGTTTAACCAATGTGCCTGTAGTGTTCATGGATTGTATGAACCACATATTCAGGCCATACTTGGATTAGCTTGTTGTGGTCTTTATAGATGACATTCTAATCTATTTTGAGAATGAGGAGCAGCATGCAAAGCATTTGAGGACGGTGCTTCAAATTTTGAAAGATAAGAAGTTGTACATCAAGCTCAGTAGGTATGAGTTTTAGTTGAGAGAAGTTAGATTTTTAAGACACGTGGTGTCAGCGGATAGAATTTTTGTGGATCCACATAAGGTTTATGCAATGTTGAAGTGGGAGCGTCCTAGTTCAGTCACAGAGATACATAGTTTTCTGGGATTAGCTAGGTATTATCGATGATTTATTCAGGGATTTTCCTAGATAGTTTCTTCTTTGACTAAGCTAACGCAAAAAAGATCAACCTTACATATAGGATGACAAGTGTAAAGTGTCATTTCAAAAGCTAAAAGAGAAGTAAACCACAACACCAATATTGATTATCCTTAATCTAAGGTCTTTATTGTGTCTTGATGCAAGACAATTAGGTGGTAGCATGTACTTCATGATAATTGAGACCACATAAAGAGAACTATCCTATACATGACTTAAAGCTTACAATAGTGGTATTTACTCTAAGGATCTGGCACTATTACTTGTATGGTGAAGTGTTTACTGTGTTTAGCGACCATAAAAGTTTAAAATACCTAGTGGATCAGAAGGAGCTGAATATGAGGCAAAGGAGATGGATGGAGTTTCTTAAGAATTACAACTTTAAATTGAAACACCATCCGGGTAAAACTAATATTATTGCTGACACATTAAGCCGAAAGACTTTGCATGTGGCAAGTCTTATGGTAAAGGAGCACAGATTGATGGAATCATTTATTGAGTCGCAGTAGGATGCGTCACTGAAGGCATTAGTTGGTGCCTATTCTATGAAAATTAGCAATGATTTCTAGAGAGAATTGAGAATGGCACAACTAGAAGATGAAAGTCTTCTAAGGATTAGAGAAGAGATTGAAGTGGATTAAGCTGTAAATTTTAGTTTCAATGATGATGGGTTTATGGTTTACCGGGACAGGATCTGTGGTCCTCATAATGTTGATTTGAGAAAGGTGATTTTGAATGAGGCTCATAGTAGTAAGTACACAATCCATCCAGGAGCTATAAAGATGTACCAGGATATGAAACGGTATTAATAGTGGCCTGGTATGAAGAAAGATATTATGGAGTTTGTGACTCAGTGTTTGACTTGTCAAAAGGTTAAAATAAAGCACCAGAGACCAGCAGGAATGTTGCAACCATTAGATATTCCTAAGTGAAAATGAGATAGTGTTGTTTCCATAGATTTCATAACTGGGTTGCCAAGAACTCAGTCAGGACATGATGCCATTTGGGTTATAGTTGATAGACTCATGAAATTGACTCATTTCCTAGTCATTCATATAAGTGATTCTCTAAAAAAGTTGGCAGAGATCTATATCCGAGAAGTAGTAGGCTACATGGTGTGCCATAAAGTATAGTATCTAATAAAGATTCGAGGTTTATGTCTCAGTTATGGGGAGCTTTACAGCGTGCCATAGGTACTGAGTTGAGATTCAATATGACATATCACCCACAAACAAATGGGCAGATAGAGCAAACATACAGACTCTAGAGGATATGTTGAGAGCTTGTGTATTAGAGTTGAAAGGTAGCCTGGATAGCCATCTCCCTTTGGCTGAATTTGTTTACAACAATAGTTACTACTTCAGTATCCAAATGGCACTATATGAGGCATTATATGGGAGAAAATATAGGTCACCTCTTTGTTGGACATAATTGAGTGAAAGGAGTATGTTAGGACCCGATATTGTGGATAAATGACTCAAAAGATTGAGTTGACAAGGCAAAAATTGTTGACGGTTCAAAGTAGGCAAAAAAGTTACACAGATAGGTGTAGAAGGCTGTTAGAATTCCTAGTAGGAGACTATATGTTTTGAGGGTTACATCAGTGACGAGAATTAGGGGATCAATAAGAGCCAAGAAATTAACTTCTCAATTCATTGGTCCTTTCAAGATTCTGGAAAGAATTAGACCAGTTGCCTACAAGATCGCTTTGCCACCACAGTTGTCTGGTGTGCATGACGTATTTCATGTGTCGCCGCTCAAGAAATATCAACCTGATCCTTCACATGTGATAAAATCGGAGGAGATTGAACTCCAAGAGAATTTGACGTATAAGGCTGAGCTAGAGTGAGTCGTAAATGTGAAAAAGCAATTAAGAAACAAGACTATACAATTGGTTAAGATTTTCTAGCGAGGCATGTCTCTTAGTGATACTACCTAGGAGACAAAGGACAGAATGAGACAACAGTATCCTTACCTGTTTCCATAGGTATGTGTTTAAGTGTTTTATGAATTTTAGGGGCAAAATTCTTAGAAGAAGGGGAGCACTGTAACATCCTGAATTTCTTAATCCCATGATTAATTGTTAATTGAGGGTAAAGTGATAATTAGTGTGGCATTTGAGATTTAGATGATTATTTGATGATTTGACTCATAGGGAAGCCGGGTCAAGCAAGTGTGTGTGGCGAGAATGAATCTCACTATGCCACGTGCTGTGGATTGTGTTGCATATGCTGTGGTACATAGACCAGGAAATCACTTCTTAAATTGTGAAATTTTAAAAATTTCAGAAGGAAAAATTTAAGAAATACATGAGAGAAGGAGAGAAAAAGGGATGAGGAGGTGGGAAAAGCTATTTCAGGCATTGGAAGGTACTTCTAATCGATTACTTAATGGGTAAGATACGTATAACTCTTACCTTCCATTCTATACAAATTTCTCTGCAAATGAGTTATAAGGAAATTGAATCGATGGAATTTGAGAGGTTTGATTCTTTTCTAATGGTGATAAAAAGGTTCTCAAGAGTTAAATTAGAGCTTTGCGACTAGTTTAGAGCTGAATAGTAGAGCTTTGAACTCGTAGGCTTAATTTTGGCCCTAGAGAGAGAGAATTTAGGGTAAAAATTTTATTTTGTCAAAATAAGATCGATTAAGGTGATGTAAAGTAATAATCGAGTAGCAATGGACTTAGAATGGATAAATGAAAAAGAGTTTATGGTTGAATATAGCCCTAAGTAGTAAATATGAGTTTTTGGCCAAAATAGACCAAATGACTAAAATGTGCCAAATGTGTTCAGATTAGCATATTGGACATGTGGGTAGAGAAAGAAAGCTTGAGAAAAGCTATAGTTGCTGTTGAAATCCACGGGTAAGCTTTCTAGTGATAGAAGGGTTGAGATAACCGAATAACTTTTTTTGTTTGACTGTTTATTGTAATTGTGTGTGAGTATGCTATGTAGTACATGATCTTGTTTTGGATTAAGAATGTTTTATAGAATTGTGTGAATGTTGCATTAAATAGCCTTTGGTTGAATAAAAGCATTAGAAAAATGTGATTTCAATTGATATGTTATATATATATATATATATATGCTATGTATGAGAAAACATGTAAAACTGTAATGAGGAACCTTGAATGGTTTGAAAAGCATGATCATAGGGGTAGGAGTTCACTCAAGTGGAGAGGTGGTAATAAGACCATATGATAGATTCTCCTTAGTACCCAACGGGGTGCAGTGTTGGAGATATATCTCCTTAGTGCCTTATAAGGTGCAGTGTTGGAGAAAATCTCTTTAGTGCCTATTGAGGTGTGGTGTTGAAGATTTAAGACTCCTTAGTATCTATGTGATACAGTGTTAGAGTCAATGACACTCCATTGTGTGTATTGGGGGAAACTATAGTCCATAAGTGAGATAGAACATCTTTGGTCGAGTAATTCTACCACTACAAGTGAGCTCAAGGCTAATAAGAGTGTACATTAATTTAAGGCCAGCCTATGGTTTTGTGTCAGGATAATTTGGAGGTTTGGTTGGTAGTGATTATACTATAGAATGTTATATGTGAGAAAGTGGTGAAAAGTGGAGTAAAGAGGTGAAATTTGAAACATGAATGTAATTTAAGTAGAACTTGTGATATATGCTATTTTAAGAAGATTTAAATGATATATTATGCTTTACTTCCATATTGTTGCATGTGATAGTCAATAAAAGTGAGTTATTTTGTTACTGAGATTTTTATCTTGCCCTTGTGGTTACTTGTTTACAGGATGGCAGTAACTTGGGTAAGGGAAGAGAGTCTGAATTGGCTTGAGTTGTTGAAGCTGTGTAAACTCTGAGTTGGTGTAATGAACTAGAAACCTTGTATATATAGGTGCAAATGAGTTTTCATAGGGTTGCATGCATGACTTAAGTAATGATTTTTATGGAATCTTAGCCCAATTGTATGTACATTGATGAAATGAATCAAGGGCTATGATTTAAGTATATTTGTGTTGAATTAGTTGTTGATATTGGTGAATCTTAAGCCTAAGTGAGAAATTATGGTAAAATGAGTAATTTGGGGCCAAGATTGAATTGTGATTATGTTATGAATGTGAATGTATGTGTTTTTGTTAAGAAAAGAGCCAAATGGGCTATATTATGCCAAGTATGGCAATTTGTGCAATTTTGTGGAAAGTGAAAATTGGCCACGGGAGGGTTAAATTTCAATATATATGTATATCTGTAATGTAATATGTCAATTAAGTTTATTAGGTCCTTTTGGATTTAATTCAAGACCTTGTATGGTCTAATAAGAAAAAAGGATCGATTTGAGTGCTTGGGTGCACAAATTTTTCAAAAAAAGTAAGTTTTTGCA